CATGTCAAAATGATCCAGAAAACACACCATGCTCATTTTAGGTCATTTCTAGACCGAAAAAATTTGGTGGCCTAGAAAACCCAATTTGCGAAAATTAGGCCACTCATTTCCTCACATGAGATCGGGGTGTGTGACTGAAAATTTTCGAGAATTTTTCCAAAAAGTCGTTCGACCATAAAGAAAATCAATGAAAAAAACATTTTGCAGACTGAAAGATGCAAAATTCGAAATCCAACAGGACGAAAAAGGCAGAATAAGCCGCTTCAGAACGGAAGATGGAACAATCGTTCGATCTTCCGATCACCACAGAGACGTAAAATATTTCCAAGGAGTCCGCTGTCTGAATACTCCATGGCAGAGGTATATGGCTCGGGAGAAGGAACATGGTCAGCAAGACGTGGAGAATAAGAATCCAAATTCGGAGATGATGGAAGAACCAGACCCAATAGAGTCAGAAGAAATTGACGATCCAGAAGAAGATATTCCAGTGGAGCTGACCATTGGCGAAGATGTCCGTCATGCAGCATTCAATGGACATATCAATTATGAAGAGCTGGATGCACAGGAATTTTTTTATCCGGGATTTTCACAAATTGGTGAATCAGAGCCGCTCGTAAAGCGTGCGAAAGCAGAACAGTTAGTATCGGAAGTTGTGACGCCGGATAATCAGAACGCTACCGTCCAGCCACTTCTTGTAGAAGCTACGCCAACGATCAAGACGCCAGATGAGCCAAAAATCAGTGTCATGTCTCTTGTCACTCACATCAAACACATCGCAATGTACTATAAGCTGGAGAAACTAGGAAACAAGGCTTCGCAAGCAATAGAGAAGATGAACAAAACGGGAGAAGACAAGGTAATATAATAGTTTACAACCAGTGTGTATCATGGTGGCCTAACTTTTGCAAGTTGGGTTTTCTAGGCCACCATGTAGAAATGGCCTAGAAATGACTTCATATTCATTCGATGTGTTTTCTGGGTCATTTTGACATGATGGCTTAACTTTTGCAAATTGAGTTTTCTAGGCCACAATTTTTTTCGGTCTAGAAATGACCTGAAATGAGCATGGTGTGTTTTCTAGGCCACCATGTAGAAATGGCCTAGAAATGACCTGATATTCATCTGATGCGTTTTCTGGGTTACTTTGACATGATGGCCTAACTTTTGCTAGTTGCGTTTTCTAGGCCACCATGTAAAAATGGCCAAGCACCTGATATTCATCTGATGTGTTTCTCGGTCATTTTGACATGGTGGCCTAACTTTTGCAAGTCGCATTTCTTAGAACACCACCTGTTTTCGGTCTAGGAATGGCCTAAAATGACCCTTGTGTGTTTTCTAGGTCATGTAAGACCATTTCTATGTCAAAAAAGCTGATGACCTAGAAAACTCAACTTGCAGAAGTTAGGCCACTCATTTCCTCTTCATTTCGAAATCTCGTTCAAAAAATTGGCGAGACTTTTTCAAAAATTCGTTAGAAATGTATTCGAAAAAAGAATCGAAAGGTTTTCGAACGTAACGAAAATCAGACCCTGCTTAATAATACACAAATCATTTTTTTACAGACTCTATCAGTCAAGAATTTCAATATTTCAATTAGTTTCATGCTAGTCTGTCTGGAGGAAAACCGAATCTGTGAAACTTAAGGTTCTATCACACTCGAATCCCTGTTCGAACAACTCCAGATGTCCTTAATCAGACCCCTAGGGCCAGAAATCGTCACTGAAGCATTAGAATTGATTTCACAAAAAATCCAAGAATTTGAGAATGAAGATGATGGGGTAGGATAGTTTTTTGGAAAGGTCTATCAATGTAATGTCTGAAATTTCAGGTTCCATCAAATCTCATCTCCGAAAGCTTGACCAGTTTGATGATAGCCACTGGATTTTACAAGCAACTGGAATAATGCGTTCCCCGTTATCTTTGTTATTTTGTTTGGAAATTTTTGTTTCAAAGTTTCTTTTTTTTTTGTTGTTGTTATCTGGAAGTTTTCCAGATTTTTCATTGTTTTGTCCGTTCTCTTAAACAAATTTCATTTTGGATTTCTTCTAAAAAAATAAAAACACTCTTTAAGAATTAGGCTTTAAAGGTGGGGGGACAGGAGATTTTCGTAGTTTTTTTGTAGCTAGAGTATGCATTCTACCGTGACGGTGTACAACGCTTAATGTCATTCTGCGTACAGCTGTCGTCCTCGCCTTTATGTATGCAATCGGGTGTGCGCTTTCTCTTTGCATGCGTGGCTCAGTCGGTAGCGGCGCCGCACCCTCAATCATCGCCCTCACAAGTTCAACTCCTCGAGAGGCATCTTTGAACGGAATTTCGAGAACATTATTTTTTTTCATGTCCCCCCACCTTTAAGGAATTTTTGAGAATCAACAATCAAATTTGAAATAAAAGTAAAAAAAATCACCGGTAGTCATTACACATTTAACGAAAAAACAATTTAATATTCTACGAACAATCGGCAAAACCATTTCGACCATTTTCTATCATGCCCATGTTTCCTTTTTCGTCTTCTCAAATAATAGACGCTGCAGAAGACTAGCCATGGACTTCGTTCATTCTCTATTTCTAATCTTTCGTATGATTTGTTGAGTTTCTTAGACAATCGATCGATTGCTCTTTGTGATTTATCGATATCTTGATCGAATTGATTGTTGATATCAGTACGATGAAGATAGATTGAAACCAGAAGAGCAATGGTTGCGTATCGCAGGGGAGGTCGTTTTATTATTTTTCTGAAATTCGATATTTAAAAAAAGACAAATTAATTTTCAGAATTTTGAATATCGTGAAACCTGCATTAGAAGGGCCCTCCAAAAGGGGCTTAAAAAAATAGAAGAGTCCCCTGTAATAGAACAGCTCCCCTTGTAAAGAAGGACCCACTTAAATTTCCGTACTTTTCCAGTGGAAATTATTCCGGGAACTGCACAATTTAATAGAAATTTCTGGAAACTCTATTTTTCGATGAAAATCTTGCTAAATTTTGGTGAAATTGGCAGATTTTCATGAATTTCGAACGAAACTTCGTCGAATTTTTCAATGCGAAATTTCGGAAAAAAACTGGCCGGAAAATAGAAGGGCCCTTCTAATACAATTTTACGGTAATTGCGGAAATTTCTTTAAAGGTGGGGGGACATGAAAAAAAAATGTTTTCGAAATTCCGTTCAAAGATGCCCCTCGAGGAGTTGAACTTGTGAGGGCGATGATTGAGGGTGCGGCGCCGCTACCGACTGAGCCACGCGGGCAAAGAGAAAGCGCACGCCCGATTGCATACATAAAGACGAGGACGACAGCTGTACGAAGAGTGACATTAAGCGTTGTACACCGTCACGGTAGAATGCATACTCTAGCTACAAAAAAAATACGAAATATCTCCTGTCCCCCCACCTTTAAAAAAACATGTTTTCATTCAAAAATCGGACTTTTCGTGATTTCAGGGAGTTTAAAACTCACATATACATCTCCAATCGTTCTTTTTCCAAAAATACACCAGTTTCGTACGAAGAAAAACTTGTTAGCAATGCAAGTTGCGCCAAAGCGACATCCGTCGGGAGTCCTATCCGATTTCGGTACTCCATCACATTCAGAATACCATTTATACAAGCTCGTGTCCATCCCGGGACACCATGCAACGGTAGAAATGGTGAAAAATGGTTGGTAATCAAATAAGTACACTCGATTTCTTCTTCTGTCTCGTGCTTGGCATTCAAATAGCTTTTGAGCTTATTGACGACTTGCTCATTTTTCGGTAATTGTTCTTTCACTTTTTCACTTGACGGATTCATGGCTTTTGCCAAATTAGCCACTAGCTTTTTGAATAACACTTTATCAGTATCCACAATCATTAACATCTTGATCGCTCGACAGGCAATCACATCCACAGTTGACTCATTTAGCCATTCCAGTTCATTTAAAAGGGTCCAAGTGAGAATTTGCATTTTATAAATTTCATCTTTCTCAGTGTCTTCAATTTCCCATTTGTTAAATGTTAACAAGCACAAATAATGAAGAATTGTGGATTTGCACTCACCAAAATCTTTCTGGGATCTGGAAAATTATACTAGTGCCGTTTTGATAATTTTTGTTTTGAAAGTCTAAGAAAACCAGAGATGTCCGGAATGACTTTTGAAAGACGGAATCAGAAATCCGAAATCCGGAATAAAGATATTTTCACGGAATCCGGAATCCGGACAAATTAAAATTTCCCGGAATTCGGAATACGGAATGAAACTAATTTTCCGGAATACGGAATGCGGAATACGGAATCCTGAATTTTGAGTACTCCAAATGGGTAGAAAAGTTCTAAAAATGCATATCGTGCTATATTTTTGCATTTTTAGCCGCAGAAGTTCAAAAAAGTCAGAGAAAAATTCTTGCAAATTAACGAATATGTTTAAAACCTGGAATAAAACATTTTCCCGGAATCCGGAATACGGAATACAAAATCCGGAATCCGGACGCCTCTGAAGAAAGCACGGAATGTTATGCTAAAAATCTCGATTTTTGAAAGTTCCGGAAGTTTCAAAAAAATACGAAAATTTCCACGAATTCTGAATTTTTACCTAAATTTGATTATTTTCTTTTTAAACCGTTCTAAACGTGCCTTCGAAACTTGAATATATACCATAAAACCTGAAATAGAAGGTCCCTCTAACTTTTAACTTCGACACAATTTATCTCAATTCCTGTTAAAGATATAAAAAAGATGTCAACTGACAAGTTGTTTATCATAATATGATCAACACTTTATCAGTTGACAGACTTTTGATATCTCTGATAGAAATCGAGATAATGGAGCTCAAAATTAACAGTTCTGGAGCCCTTCTATCACAGTTTTTACAGTAAAACCTGTAATAGAAGGGTCCCCTAATTTTTGACTTTCAGCTAATTAAATATTGGCAATATTCCGAAAATTCCAAAAATCTAAAAAGGTTAGAGTTTGCATTTTCAGAATTTTGGTTTTTCGATGGTTCTGATTTTCGAGGTTCCAAAACTCTAATCATTAAAACTGGAGTTCTTTTTTCGCATTTCAAATATCATGTAAGCTCTAAAACACTGTTTTTTCGGAACTCCGAAAATATAAAAACAAAAAAAATTCTGAAAAAACTGACCTGTAAACATACAAAAGACAACGAACACATTGTGTCTCAAAATAGGGCATATGCAGATGTTGTTTTTTAATTTTGAATATAATATTCCAGAAGTTTTTTCTTGTCAAGTTCTACATTTTCGCTTTAAAATTAATTAGAAATTAAAGTTTTGAGCCGAGTTACGGGTCGGACAATGAACGTCCAGGTTGGCTTATCACCCTCGTCGGTGCATAAATCGGCTCAAAATAGAAACTTTTGATTGAATCAAAAAAAGAGATGGTGGAACTCAATGAGATCTATACTCACCTACTAATCCAACGCATGTTAAGGTTGGATGGCTCGTCAATATATCATATATCATTTGAGGAGTCGCCAAGTTTCGACTTAAATCTAGCATTTGAAGGTTCGGCAAGACTTTTCTGCACTTCCAGAAATGCTCCACATTTTTCAAATTGTATTTTCTGAAAAAAGATTACATAGTTTATATAAAACGACACCTGGTAAGTTTCAAGGTGAGCTAACTTTTGTCGTGAATGTTCTAACGCACTCTGAGTTCAATAATCTTAGCTCTTTTGAGATTTTTGCATAATATCACTAATATTTTGACAGTTTACGAACGTTTGATATGCTATGTTTAAGCCGAGATAATTGAGCTCAAAAAGCAGCAACGCGCGAAACGCGCCATGCTACAAGAAAAGCGCAAACGACTCACCGATCACCAGAAATGTCCAAAACACGAAGGTTCTTCAAATCAAACACGTCTTCAATATCTTCCTAACTGGCTAGCTCCAAATCACAAGCCATCAAAATTCGAGGTTCACCAATTCCCAAATTCCAGATAAGGACACAATTTCGGTCGACGAAATATCTAATTGTTTCAAGATTTGAAACTTACTGCATAATACCAAAAAATCATGATTGCTCAATCGACAATAAGGCAAGGCAAGAGACCAAAGGGATGGTAGACGGGAAGCGAGCTGAAAAAAAGAAAGATTTTTGTTGAGAATCATATAAAAAAGCTACAACTCACTATTTGAATCCATTCACCCAAAAAATACGTTCGATAACCATCGATTTCCAATTCAGTCAACATTTTCATGCTAGTGGAATTAAGTAGTCTTTCAAGAAGTGCCAAAATACCAACTGGGATTCGTTTTTCTGAAAAATTCTCTAATGCTCTTTGAGCTAGGAACCAAGACCCTACCCTCGGCAGAAAAATTATAATCAATGAACCATAAAGTGTTCAAGCCGCGTACACTTAGTTTTGTGAGATTCTGAGAATAGATCAACCAGCAGTGCTCTTCTGGAAAGTCCTCCTGGAGAAGGGCGAATTTCGAAGCGTGAAGTTTTTTGGACAGATTTTGTATGATTTCTGGTGAGAGCTCGTGTTGAACATTGTTCAACTGATGGAGGATGTCGTTGCTGACATCTTGGGAGAATTCAACGTTTGAGGTTGGGATGTGGTATAAAAATAAGGAACATTAGATTTAAGTACTTAAAGAATTTTGAAGCGCTTTTAAACAAAAAGACTAAGCGTTAAACTGAAACTTACCTTGATAAACCAATGCTGCAGATTGCCTATAAAGCGAAATCTCGCAGTTTTTGTCGTGTGGCATTTGTAAGAATGGAAAAATAAAAATGCGTTGAATAAAAGTGTAAAAAGAGGTAACAGAGAACACTGGAACATTTTAGAAAAGCACGAGAAGAGGTCAAGAGATCAGGAAATGTAGAAGAGACGGCAGAGAGAAGGAGGAAGAAGGAAGAAATTGCGAGAGGTTAGAGAGCGCTGGCATAAACATAGGAATCAAAACAGGGGAGAGAGAGAGAGAGAGAGAGAGAGAGAGAGAGAGAGAGAGAGAGAGAGAGAGAGAGAGAGAGAGAGAGAAGATGAGCTTGAGAAAATTTTCGTATGGGGCAACATGGCCCAGAAGTTTGCCTCCTCTATTCTTCTTTATTTATTTATTTATTTCAACGAAGGGGAGAAAACCACTAACACGTGAAATGTCTATGAAACTAGGAGATATAACAAGGACATACATTTGTAGTAATTGGGAGATGAAGGAAAAACCGAGTGAGTAATTAGTTGAATTCAAGACAAGAAAATGATTTAGATCACAGGATAATAGTCGATTTTTGAAAGCCGCTGACGAGGGCTTCACCGGAAACACTTTGGCGGGTAAAGAGTTCCAACATCTGATTACTCTATTAGAGAGAAATTGAGAAGATATTTTTGTTGAGTTTTTGATAAGTGATTTGAGATAGTATTTGTGACGTCGCAATGATCCAGCATGATTAAATATTTCGAAAATTGGAACCTCCATGATAATTTCTTTGGAAACAATAATTTTATACGTGTAGACCAAATCATTATAGAGCCTGCGATACTCCAAGGAACTTAGCTGACATTCTTCCAGTGCTTCAAAGTATGAAGTGTATGCCATCCTGAATTTTTTGAAAATTCTGAAAACAAATGCCTTTTGCACCGATTCCAATTTTATAATATGATCCTTTAGGATTGGAGAAGTGACTATCGTTCCATATTCGAGTAAAGGGCGTATGTAAATTGTATAGCATTTTATAAAAACACTCCACGATGCGTTTTTTAGAATGGAAAAGAACATGTTGATCCTCTGATGTGATTTCCGAATAATCAACGAATAATGATAATGGAAACTCAGGTTACTGGAAAAGTAGATCCCAAGATCACGGACATTTTCCACAGGGGGAATCAAAGCTTGATTTAATTTGGGATTCATAATATTGGAGTTGGCATATTTTCTTGTTGCATTGAATTTGATGTATTCGCACTTTTTAGGAGCCGATTTCATTTTCCACTTCGAGCACCAATTCTCCAATTCAATTAAATCTGCATCAATCAATCTATCATTCGTATCATAAATTTTCAATTCATCTGCAAACAGTAGATAGTCACTTTGAAATTTGTCACCAATACAATTAATATATAACAAGAAGAGGGTAGGCCCAAGAACAGAGCCCTGCGGGACTCCGGACAATACGCGCCTCTCCTTCGATAGTATATCATTGATTTTGACTTGAAATTTTCTGTCCGTGACAAACGAATGAAGCCAATTTCTTAGTTTGGGAGATATCCCAAAGCTTTCCAACTTATGAATCAATTTGTTTATCGGCACTGTATCGAAGGCCCTCTGGAAATCAATATAGACGCTATGGGTATCTAACCCATTTAAAGAATTGAAAACAAGCTTGTTCTGGTAGGCGATCAGTTGGGAAATTGTACTTCTCTGATTAAGGAACCCGAATTGTTTTTCTGATAATAGATTATTTTCGGATACGTATTGGACTAGATGTTTTCGTATCAACTTCTCCATAATCTTGCATATATTGGATGTTAAAGAGATTGGTCTATAATTTAAAGGATCGGAGCGGGAGCCTTTCTTATGAAGCGGCATAACAATCGCCTCCTTCCAAGATTTTGGTATTCTTCCAACTCGATAACTTTCTGTGAATATAATGCATAGTGGAATCGCAAGAGGAGTACACGCTCTTTTCAGAAATATTGACGGGATACTATCCGGAGAAGTATTATTTCGGCCTTTCAGTTTATATAGTAATATCTCGATATTCTCCGACGTGAATATGCCATCTGAGCTGAACATAGAAGTTAGATTCCCTGTAGCAGGAAGGATATCTTTGTCAATGTTGAAAAATTCACTGAAGCAATATTTCGGGATTCTGGAGCAGAGATAGATGGTTGAGGCGACAGCTGAAGCAAAAGTTTTAATTAATGAAGTAGGAGGTTTTGGTGATTCTTTAGGTTGAGATGATAACAATTTGAGATTCTCCTCCAAGCCATCAACTTCTTCCGTAAGATTCGACAAATTGGCATTCAGAATACAGTTTTGGTTTTTCAACATTGTGTTTTGGGATTGAAGCTTGAGAATCGTTTCAGCCAGCGACTTAAACATCATTGCAATATCATTCACAGTGAATTCTTCTTTCGATTTGAAATCATTGGACAGAAGTTCATATAATGGGTTAGACATATCATCCACAGATTCAATTATATCATCCACAGCTTCCTTACTGGAATATTCAGACAATTTGGATTTCTTACCGCCATTTTCATCTTTCAAGGCCGAGAGAGCTTTTCTCTTATTTCGAGGTTTATGTTTAATAATAGTTACAACCATAGCGGCCAAAAAATCGATATCAGAGGAATAGAAGGGGTCACCGCACGCTACAGAGACGCGGGAGGGGAATGAGACTTCTTTAATGCATAATAAAGCTCGAGAAAGTTCTAAATGTGCTTGCGTCATACAGTTATTACAAATCGAAAATTCATTAATTATCAGAATTATTTTAAGATTAAATTCAGAAATTCCTGTAAATTTTAGAAAAATTACAGGAATTCAACAAATTTAGAAAGATCTGAAATTCTGAAATTTGAGATTCTGAAAATCTGAAATGTTGAAATTCCGAAATTCTGAGATTCTGAGATTCTGAGGTTCTAAGATTCTGAGATTCTGAGATTCTGAGATTCTGAGATTCTGAGATTCTGAGATCTGAGATTCTGAGATTCTGAGATTCTGAGATTCTGAGATTCTGAGATTCTGAGATTCTGAGATTCTGAGATTCTGAGATCTGAGATTCTGAGATTCTGAGATTCTGAGATTCTGAGATCTGAGATTCTGAGATTCTGAGATCTGAGATTCTGAAATTCTAGGATTCTGAAATCCTGAAATTCTGAAATTCTGAAATTCTAGGATTCTGAAATCGTGAAATTCTGAAATTTTTCGACCCTTTGCAACTTTTCAATATTCCAAAACATTACTTATCATCTTTATCAAATATATACATTACATTTTAATTTTTATCACATTACAAACATTTCCAAGTGCACAAAAAAAAGTTCTTAGAGCATCACAGAATGCGTATTCGGATTGGAGCATCGCGGCGCCGCCGTCATTCTCAACGGCTCCATTTCGCTTTGTCGACGGAGCGAACTTGCATTATTGGCATTGTTCGGCGACCACTTGCCAGGTATCAGACGCCAGAGAAGCTTTTGGAATACGAATTGATGGATTTCGGGGATTCTGGAAGTTTCTTATTCAATACCGGTCAATAAGATCATTTCAGGAGCCTAGAGCTCGACTGTCAAGTTTCCGATCACTTTGAAACTTATGGAGGATGTAAAACAGACCTAGATGAAAAACTTTGAATGCAGAGAATTTTTTGAAAATTCGTAGTTTTTCAGATATTCGCCAATTTCTAAAAGACATCATATTTCCAGTACAAAAACCGGCCTAAAAGGGGTATCTGCCAGATATCGAAAATAAAAAGAATTTTCAAAAAATTATGTGAATGCCAAGTTTTCAATCTAGATCTGTTTTACACTCTCCAAAATTTTCAAAGTGATCGTAACCCTGACAGCTGAGCTCCATGCTCCTAAAAATGTCACAACCCTTGAAAATCCGCTCACCTCGTCGCATAGATAATCGGATTGGTCAACGTCTTTCCCATGATATTAACCAACACCACAATCGACAGAACCGTGATGTAGACACTTTGTTTTTTGTACAACGGCATGTCTTCGGCAGTCAAAATGTACATAATACTAGCTGGCATCCAGCCGATCAGGAATGTTCCAAAGATCAGGACGGCAGTGATAACGGTACGACGACCACGCGCGGATGCTCCCGGTGCTGGGTTGTTGGCGGCGGTTTTGTTGCGGACCTGGAAATTCATCATGTGGTTGTGTAGCTACATTCAAATCAGCTGAAAATGTTGATTTTGAAGAAAGTAGGCAAACTAGGTCGTGTTACCAAGAACGCCCAACTCATGAACATTGTCAACTTTGATCCCCTTTATCTCTTTTCCTATAAAAGATAACAAAAAGTGATCAACTGATAAAATGTTTATCATAAAAGCAGTAACATTTTTATAGTTGACCACTTCTTGATATCTTTTACAGGAGCCGAGATAAATTGGCTCAAAGTTAGTGGACCCTTTTTTTTTAGAGTGCTTAAGGTAGCTTTCTTCAAACTCAACATTTTTGATCGGTTTAAGAACTAAAATGTAGCTCTTAAAATTCCCTATCATACCTCTGTAATTTTTTGCAACATCTTGATATAGAAAATGGTCGTTGTGATGATAAGGATAATGATGATTAGGGAGATGGCAGCACGGAAAAAGAAGTTCTCGTAGAAAGCGATTCCCATACATTTCTCGTTTCTGAAAGAGTTTTTTAAAAAACTTTTCTAATGGTTGTTTAAGTAGTACCATCTTGTAGAAATATAAAAGTTATATCATATCAATTTCAGAAAGTCAAAAAATATAAAGTTTGAGAGAAGATATGACCCGTTTTGTGGTCGGTCCCCTTTATAGCTTATTAGCTCAGGTCCCGTAAGAGATATCAAAAAATTGTCAATTGATAAAATGTGTAAAAAATTATGGTGATTCAATTGTTAGTCAAAACATTTTTGATATCTCTTTCAGAAAACGAGATAATTAAAGTTAAAGTGACAACTACCACACAAACTCACTGATATCCTTGCCCCTTCCAGCTAGCGAAGTAGATCATAAGAGCCAATGGTGGTGTAGCCCACATGAAGAGCATCATAATGTGAATTGTACGGATTGGAAGCACTTTTTGATGATCGAATGGTCGTTTGATCGTCATGTAGTGGGTGAATGCCAATGCGACGAGATGGAAGATTCCGGTGAGGAGACCGCCCGTACGGAATGCCTGGAATTGGGTGTTTTTTGAGTGACAGTAGTGTGGGGGTACAGTAATCGGTGTTAATACATTTCCGAGACCTCATTTATATACGCCACCGTCTTAGCTCAGCTGTTCTGCTTATTCTAGTTTTAGGTAAACATGTCTTAAAGGAACCATGCCCTCACCTCTTCCTGTTTTTTTTGTTATTTCCAAACGGCAACAAAAATAGCTTAAAATATTCAAAAACGTTCCAAAATTTTAAGTTATATAGAATAAAAATAGAGCTTGGATCTGGAAATTGCCCATTATAGCTTTTGTTTTTCGGTGACGTTGGAGGTGAGTTGGGAATATTTTTTTGGTTTCTGGGTTATCTCGGTTCCTATC